CCTGACATCGTTTAACTGTATTTTATGGGACGCAGTGTTGAAATCAATGTGAAACTGCCTCTGCACTCATGTTTTCGTGTAACCTGCAAATCCCACATCCTAAACATCCCCCTCAGGTTTTGGTCCTATCAATCACTACAAACATAACGTTTGATTACCATTTATTAATTATTCATAATTACACTAAATAGGGTCAATTTTGGCATCTAACGACCATCAAGGCAGCACTATAAATGCACTAACCCAGCTTGGTCTTTTCACTAGCTCTACTTCTAATGAACGAAGAGTATCGTGATTCTGCAGTCATATTCTATGTGTTACTCAGTAGAATTTGACAAAATAGGCAAATTACGTTATCATCGACATGGCAGTAATAGTCTTACTGAGAGGCTTTCTAGGTGTGCACTTGACATTAACGTCAATGCAACTACTGTTGGGTGCAGTCTATTGTTCCGATGTCAGCGCTGTGAAGGTGTGCGCACAAAAGCATTTAAACTCTGTCTGAGAAAATTGGCTCAAAAATTATTTTGAACCTGTTAACACCTTATTAAACTACAATCCAAATCACCAAAGCATGTCACACTTTTATAATATTTAAAAAAGTACAATTATTTGTTTCAAAACTTGCTCCCCTTTGTAAGAGTCGCTGCATATAAAAAAAATTGATGCCATTAAAATTTTCCTTTTAATTGATTGATGAATTCCTATACCAGTATTTGGAAAGAGTGAAGAAGTATTAATAAAAAATGTTAATGTCAAATCATCAATCCTGACACACCCAGACACTTTCTAAAAGGCATGCATATTCACAATCCTGTCACATTTCTTGTTGGGGGCTTTCTGCTTCTTGAGAATTTCACCAAGAAAATGTGCAAAACAATAAACTGAAAAGGTCTGCCCTGAACAGAAACTACATATCTCAAGATATATTCAAAAATCCCCAAAACATAAACAGACATCTTATTTTACCTAATACAAACTGGGTTCATCAAAAAAAAAAATTTAATTTTTTTAAAAATAATTAAATGGATCTTTTTCAATGGCAAGCAATATTTTCTTTTCAATATCTATCAGATATGATCAAAAATAATCATAATATCACTTTAAACATGTTCAATATATTACAAACATAATTGGTTAACAAGCCTCCTACACAAGGTTGTCCCGTTATAAATTATGTCAAATTTATGAAGTAATAAACATTGTAAAGTGATCAATCTCATGACACAATGCAATATTCTTTATTCCATGGGTGTTCTAATTACACGGAGATCAAAATTCATGGATCACCCTGCACCTGCAAACGTTAACTGTCTCCAACAATGGTCTCTCTCTCTCCAGGTTAAAGGCATTACGAGGATGCAATTCTAATCCCCCTTGGCGGTCTAAGAATAATGGCAGAGACAAGTTTAAGGGAAGAGAATATTTCATTTGAAATATAATTGTTGGCATCAAAATCTACTTTTCTTCTATTTTCCTTTATCAATGTGTTTCTGTAATAATAACCCTAGTCCTACATCCTTTATTATATTAAACAGGGACGTACCTAAACTGCATGTCGGAGGTACTTTGTATGAAGAATAGAAAGGTAATAATATTTTTGTTAAAAGGTTGGAGTTTTGTTACTTCGTAAACAATTGAGTGAGTGAGTATGGTTTTACGCTGCTTTTAGCAATATTCCAACAATATTACGGCGGGGGACACCAGAAATGGGCTTCACCCATTGTACCCATGTCAGGATTCAAACCCGGGTTTTCGGCGTGGCGAGCGAACGCTTTAACCACTAGGCTACCCGACCGCCCCACTTCGTAAACAAAGAACAAAACAGTTTTTACATACACATTTCAGAGCACTTGCTTATTCAGATAACATAAATGTCCATAAATATATGTAACACAATTGGTAATGGATCTACTTTCATGCTAGAAAGGAGGGAAATCTGTTATACAGAATGTACAGATATATGGCACACTACTTGTTTGATTGGTTGCAAGTGAGGTAGGATGGCCTTGTGGTGAAAGTGTTATCTTGTCATGCTGAAGACCTGGGTTCTATTCCCTACATGGATACTATGTATAAAATCATAGGCATAAATTATTAATGCCCGTCACTGTCATATTACTGGATTTGTGCTAAAAGTGACATAAAACCACTCCCTCACTCACTCTTTTCCCACACACACAAAAAATTAAAATTATATTTATCACAATTTTAAAAAAGTGAGGAAGTGTATATGAAGATAATAACAATAATCATATTTCTTGATATAAGTTGTAACAGCAAAAAACACATCATAAACCTTGACAACCCCTGAAACAAACATCATTGTGTTATTCATGAGAAATACCCTTTGCTGTAGGAAAACATGCGCGTACAGATGATTGTTCATCCATGCTAGACACGAATCATCTGCCATGTCAACGTGGATCATTTATGCTGTTGAGTCAGTAAAGAACTGGGTGATTAAGATTATATTAATGCCAGCCCGTGGAAACTGTTTGTTCAGTAGACAGTTTTATGACCAATTTACGATGTGAAAATATGGAAAGTGCTTCACAATTGTTTTAGTAGCTTAAGGCGCAATTAGTTACATAATTTTTTTCACTAGAAATGATACTTGATATAAATAGTTGTCATTTCATTTATTGAGTATTGTCAAGTTGTATTATATCGCAAAATTAGAGGCATTAATCAATCTCACTGACCTATTGTTTCAAAGATGTGGGGTTTCATTATTTTATGCCAGTGTGCGTGCGTGTGTGTGTGTGTGTATGCGTGCGTGTGTGCATGAGTGTGAGTGCGTGTGTGTGCATGAATGTGTGTGCATGAGTGTGTGTGCATGAGTGTGTGTGCAGGAGTGTGCGTGCATGATTGTGTGTGCATGATTGTGTGTGCATGAGTGTGTGTGCATGATTGTGTGTGCATGAGTGTGTGCATGAATGTGTGTGCATGAGTGTGTGTGCATGAGTGCGTGTGCAGGAGTGTGCGTGCATGATTGTGTGTGCATGAATGTGTGTCCTTGAGTGTGTGTGCATGTGTGTGAGAGACAGAATTAGACAGATGAAAAGAGCCCAAAACAGAACATTCGAAACATTACAAGTACTCTTTTCCTAGGAACAACTTAACTTTAATTAAGAGTAGTTGTGACATAGGGCTGTATATATATATAATAATATATGTACAGCCCTATATCACAACTACTCTTAATGCAGTGCACAGTGTGATACTTCAAACCACCCCAAAAGGACTGACTATATATAAAGACCTAATCATATTTACTAAACTTTGGTTGATCAATTTACTGGGACAAAAATACGACAGGAAAAATAAATATCCCGCAAATGGAAAAAATGAGACAGCAACACTTTAACATAGGACATGATTTTCTTTTAACTTGAAAATTATGAGCAAAGAATTATGGATTTTCAAAACTGAAATGACAGCTGTCAAAAAAGTAACAACAAACCAATATCGCAGTTATGCATGTCTGCCCTATGCATTTAAAATGTCATACTGAGTATCCAGAATATCACCTACATTAGGGGTCAGTGTGGCATGTACATGTGGAACAGCCCTTAAGGTGCAGTATAGGGGCAAACTGGCCACATAGAAGCGTGCCACAACACTTGTTAAAGAAAATCCTGTGACGGAGATCAATCAATTTTTAAATCAAATTTAAGCCCATGGGCTTAAAATCGTTCATTTGTTTTCATTTTTAAGCCCGAGGGCTAAATAACGAGGGGGTTCAGAAACTTGCAGTCCTGGTACCATATGGCGTGAAGGCCATTTCTGGTGTACCCAACTGTGACATTGTACTCACTCACTCACTCAACCAAATCAACAACAGATGGAGATTTTTTGTTTAGCCAAAACATAATAGTGGTCCATAATAACCCTAATAATGCCAGTTCTACATTCAAGTATCATATTGTATCGGTACATGATCCCATGATACAATACTTGTCACATATGGAACATAGTATTTCTATTCACTGACAAATTGTTAATGATTACAGCTTTAAACTAATGAGAGCCCATTTGCACAAGTCACAGTCATCATGGCCATAGGAATTAATACCATATTCGATGATTTTACACTTTGCACTAGTAAGCCCTCCCCCTGACCTAATTCTAGTCCAATCTGTAGGTAATCTTTTCAAGTGCCCCCAACTAAAACCGAAAATTTACACGCCAGTCCTCTTTTTCTTGTGTACATTACTGAAACCAGTAGCATAGAAGGGTATGTAAATACATTGTAAATATTTTAGTTTTAATTGCTTCCACGTTTGAACTATATTTGTTCCCTACTGCTAGATCTCTGAAAACTAAATCAACTTATTGAGTATTGTTTTTATAAGCACCCCTTTGTCAATTTTCTAAGCGCCTAGGGTGCTGATTGCAGAGTATACGATATAGTATTTGGGCTAAGAATGTTTGTACAAACAAGGAGATGGGGGCCGTTTCAGCACAAAGGTGATCGTAACTCCCATACTTTAACACAGGATTATGATCAAAACAAATTTAACTTAATGTGAATTGTCTTAATAAGCACCCCTTTGTCAATTTTCTAACACTTAGGGTGCTGATTCCGGAGAATATGACATAGTATTTGGGTAAAGAATGTTTGTGCAAATGGGCCCTGTTGGCATAAGGAGGCGGGCCCATTCCACGAAGGGATCTTAGCACAAAGGTGATCGTAAATCCCATACTTTAACACAGGGCTATGATCATCTTCTTGCTAAGATCACCTCGTGGGACGGGGCCCTGAGCTATAGAAAGAGAGCCAGGTAGCTGGGAGTGGGAGGCCGAACACTGTTTTATGCCGCTGTTAGCAATGTTCCAGCATTATCATGGCACGGGACACCAGAAATTGGCTTTACTCATTGTACCCATGTGGACAGGCACTCTGGAACAAAGGAGAGCCTGTTTTCTTCAATCCCATGATGTTGGGAGGAACTTTGCCAGGGAGATTATGATAAAGATGAAATCAAGTCACTAACCTTTATGTTTTTCTCTCAAATGACTGAAGTATGCTGATTCGTCGTGATAGAAAAATCGCATTGTGTTGTCATACGGGTAGGGCATTCCTAGAAATAAGGAATTCCACATAAACTTTTTGTAGAAAAATTCATCCAGTGAAATCATCTACGTGATTTTGTAACAGTTTGATGAAATTATCCATTATATAACTGGTTTTGTTCACAACTCAACAAAGTTATTAAAGATATTTATGTGAGGATTTTATTCATTATTCCGAAAGGTAGGGCTAGTCAGTATAAGGTTGTGTCTCATATTGTGGAAATCAAATACAGATTTAAATTAACTTGAGTTTCCTAGTACGGTACAGCATTTGAGAGTCAGGAGCATGGGATCTTCTCTGCATAAAACCCCACAATATCAACAACACAAAACAAATATAACAAAATATACTTGTTCAGATAGGCAATTGTATATTTGTCAAACAACAGGAAAAACATGTTATTTATTAGAAATTTATGTCTGAATAATACCCAAAATTAAATATCTTCCACACATTTGGAGGAATCAAATTTGTCCAAATATTGGGGTGCTATGAGGGAAAGAAAACTTAATTGCAAAAATAGATTTGCTTTTGAATAATAAGCAATAAAATAAATATGTTAATGACAACTCACCTTCCTGCGGACTGCCATGGTTGGTAAAGTCTGGTCTCGGGAAGGTGGGACAGGGCCGTAGACTTTCTGACAACATAAAACCCACAATATACACACTTGTTTCAGTTGTACAAACCACTGTTGATACTCACTGAGCTGACTATCTCATAACCATCTCCAACTGAGGTGCAACCCACAGCCTACATATTCATACCAACAGTCGGTCTCAACATTCTTGATAGCTCCAAGTTTCCCTCTCGTCCCTAACTTCCAGGTAATGTGACGCCTCTGAACGTAAAGATAATGTGAGTTGTTCTTATTTCAACACAACATGAATCCTTCTAACTTTGATACAAAGTGAGTCCCTCAAACTTTATTATAATGAGAGTCCCTCTTACTTCAATATAATGTGAGTCCCTCTTACTTCAATATAATGTGAGTCTCTCTTACTTCAATAGGAGTCCCTCTTACTTCAATACAATGTGAGTCTCTCTTACTTCAATATAATGTGAGTCCATTTACGTTAATATAATGTGAATCCCTCTTACTTCACTATAATGTGAGTCCCTATTACTTCACTATAATGTGAATCCCTCTTACTGCAATATAATGTGAGTCCTTCTTTTACTTCAAGATAATGTGAGTCCCTCTTACTTCAACACAACATGAATCCTTTTAACTTAAGTGAATACTTCTAATTTTGATATAATGTGAGTTCCTCTAATGGCCTATTTGACATAACCGAGTCTCTTTAATTGAGGTAAAGAGAGGCTGCTGTAGCCGACTGAACCTCAGACCTTTCACTCCAATACGATCATGACCAGCATCTAAATATTGGGAGAGTGAGTTCAGGAGGAGACTGTGTACAATGTCTGCTGATGGGGTACATTAGTCACAACAACCCACAAACCACAACTAATTTGGGGACTTTTGGAAGGACGTTTAACAAAAAAAGCTTCATGTTGCCAGATTAATGCATAACATATTTATCTTAATCTTGAAATAGAACTTTACTTGTAACAAAACTTATGTCATGTTTGTTCTGAAATAAGTTCAAGTAGATTGGTATCACAATGTGACAGAACATTATCAGGTTTTTTATAGACAATGAAAACAAGAAAACCAAATGATACATTTTGTATAAAGAAATCCTAACAAATTACAGTCAAGTCCCATTAATCCGACATGGTTGGTTGCATATGATTATGTCGGATTAACGAGTATGTCGGATAAATGAAATTAAGTAGTACCAACGTTCGTCAGTCATAGTTCGTGAAAGGTTCTTCTGACGTGACCTGTAATAAGATGTCCTCGGCGATAGCGAGAACTTGTATCTGATTTTAATGAGATGGAGGTAATCTAAGCATGTGATTAATCCAGTTTTCTTTATTTAAAGCATAAATTGTTTATTGTTAAGCATCATTCCCATCATTAGTGTTGGATAAAGCCGAATGTCGGATTAACGAGTGTCAGATTAACGAGACATGACTGTAGTAGTATTACAAAAATATGGTCAATTACATACAAAGTGATGAACATGAACAAGACTTCAACCTTTGCCCAATGCTACTACCAAACTGTATACATTAGATATTTTAAGTGTATAAAGTTATTTGATCATCACCCCACAAAATTTAATTAACATGATTAATTTAAAAAAAAAATACATTATACAAAGTTAAACTGGATTAATCACATTTTACCAATTTAATTTTAGCACCATTCAAACATTCCTCATGGTCAATGGTGTAGTTGAGAAAGGATTGTACGTCAATGATAATGCTTTCTCGGGCCCACATGTGTCTCTTGTAGCCACAAATTAACAAGCAATTGTGAACCTTTAATGCTGTATCCCTGAATCAAAGACTTGCCTTCACAAAATCTCAAAACCTGATATGCTCTCTCACCATCAGGCTTAATTCAATTACATAGCCAGCGTTCTATATAATCAGACATCGTTCCATTCTCCAATGCACACGTGGATTACCAGGTAGAATTCATCCCTCTACATCCCCTCCATCCCTGTAAATTGAAAAACTAGACCCGTACTGTTATGGTGTCTTATTTTAATTCATTTTAATTAGATTCTAGCATAAAATATGATCGAAATTCAGATAAGCTTGAAAGAAGACAAAACCTTCAAGACTGAATTATGATTTGTGGTAACATAGCTTTAATTCTGTGTAATTTGTGTTCATATAGTTATTCCATATTTTATTCTAACTTTTAAAATTTGAATAAAAGTTGGACCAAGTTGTCATGTCTACATTGTTCAGTGTTTTCATATTCACTTGATATTTGAAAAACACTTGTGCTCACATTTGAAACTAATTAAAATGATTTTATTCATCTAAGATATGTTTATGTATTTTCATAAAACATCTTGTGGAAATGTGTTATCAATCCACGACAGGAACTGGACTGTTTCTTTTCATAAAATGTAGAACACAGGATAAGGGAATGTCCTTAAACTTTTATGTTTATAGTTTCGTTCAAAATTTGCAGAAATAATGCTAACAAATGTATTGACCCGCTCTCCCTTTCTCACAAACTCGAGTGATGTTGCTTAATGTCATGTAGAGGCACTTATTATGGCACCTGTACAATAGCTTGAACAGGATGACCCAGGGGTCAATAGTATGAGCATAACCCAGCAACCATGTACAGTGACACACAACCAGTAGCAATGTGCGTTTGTCATGTTCATTGAGTTTGTCATGGTCATTGAGTTTGTCATGGTCAGTGAGTTTGTCATGGTCATTGAGTTTGTCATGGTCACTGGCCATGTGACCATCCAATACCCATTCCACTCCAATTGTTGCAAATCGATGTAACAATGCCACACCTGGACCTTAAGTTAAAACATCTACACATATACAGTGAACTTAATGAAAAGAATCTACCCATGATGTATGACAAGAATTCCTCCTGCCCAAATACATTTGACAAATTTTAGAAATGGTGAACTCTAAAAAATTAATTGGTAATGAAATTTATAGAAAGTGTTTAAATAACTGACATATGGCATTTTTTCAAATACATTTTAAACCTTTCACTTCTTAGGGAAATAAAAAAAACTCTCTGGAAAAAGCTAGAAATGGCTCTTATGACAAGAAAGTGTTAAAGACATAGAGAAAGTGGTCAGTCTAATAAAGGGTTAAAAAAGGGCTTGTTTTTCTATGTTTCTCCAAACTGTGATTTGGCAGTTCCAGCTGACTACAAAGGGCCCTTATCATACCTTTTTCTTCACGTTTTTTAAATTAACCTTTATAATAAATCAGTGGTGAATCCATGATTCATTGAATATGAATAGGTTGGCACTGAATACATAATTATGAAATAAATATAACGGCCGAATCCCAATTGGAGATACATGTTGACAGCATCCATGTGAACAATTTTCATAATACTGCAAAAAAAAATGGAAAGCTGGTGAAAAGGAAGATTTGATTGATCTCTGGCCACTGACACATGACATTCATCACAGCAAGGAATGTTTGTTAAAACCTGGGGATAGATCAGCAGTTGGAGAATTAAATAAAATGAGTCTGCAGTAGACTGTTTGAAATATGATGACAGAGTTTAAAGAGTAATACAATACACTAGGTGAAGATACAATATTTGTACAAAATACCCATAATAACTATACAAACATATTCTGTACAACTATATCAGTTTGTATGTTATGATAGATAACAGTACATCTGTGCTTCTCACAATCTGATGCTCTCAATGCCCACAACAATATAATGGTTTTCATTTTTTTTAAAGTATATCATTTTCATATTTGCAAATTCATGGCAGACACAAGTACAAAATGTCCATGATGTAGGTTCTGAAATTAGGTAAATAAAATAACATCCAAAATTTGATTTGTTGTGGCCTGTAGATCCATCTAACACACAAACCATGCTCAAGAACTGGTGAAAATAAACATCCTCAAAATGAATTACGTCTGTGTCACACATTCAAAAATATTTTTTTTAACTGTTATATTTATCTCCTTTTTAAGCAGTACATTAATCATAAAAAGCTAAAATTGTGACTCAAATAATATCACTCACAAAATGAGGGGACAGTCAGTAATATTCAAACTGACATGACAGCTCGCAAATGTAAATTGATGTATTATATATTACTTGCAATCTTTTTCAATTTAGCAAAAGATGTATCAATAGAGAAAATTTCTCATGTACCTGCATATCTATATTAAAATTATGGTAGTATGATTGAGAAGAACAACAATCAAGTCAAAAACTACATTACCGGTTTGGGAGATGTGGATTCAAGTGGTTTTCACATTGAATTTGTAACTTTGGTGGATTTATATTTTGATTCTTTCACCTTCATTTTCATTTACTTTGAAAGAGGTGGGAGGTGGGAGGGTGGAGGGTTGGGGATGGTGTGTGTGTGTGTGTGTGTGTGTGTGTGCGTGTGTGCGTGCGTGCGTGCGTGAGTGCGTAAGTGCGTGCGTAAGTGCGTGTGTGCGTGTGCAGCATGTGGGTGTGGAGGGTGGGGTGTGTGGTATATTTTAAACTTTTACAATCTGTGTACCATATTTTTTTGAGTATAGTGCGCACCCATGTATAATGCGCACCCCCCTCTAGGGGATTCAGTATTTTGGAGAAAAAAAATTCGAATGTCAAGCGCAGAAACAAAATACACCGTAGATCTACCCCTTCAGCGAATTCCGGTAAACGAACGGGTGATGAGAAACTTGGTCAGTACAAATTCTAAATTTGAGATGAAATATCATGTATGTGTGTTGTGGCGGACCCGGCTTTAATGTTCAGTATAGGAAATACTCCAGAAAAACAGTCCATGTTAGAGTGCGGGATTTACAGGGATCGCTATTGGGATGAGGGTGCTGGTGTATTTCTCTAACACTAGGCCCTGATTAATATCTCCACTGATTGATGATTTGATGTGCCTGAAGTTGCAGGAACATTTTGTAGAAACATGTACAATTTGCTCGACATATGCAAGCACTTCACTTGAAATACATCCGCCTATAGTTTGTATTTGGTCCTGGGCTAGAGGTGTTTTTTAATCAGCTAAACGCTACTGCAATTGTAAATTAATTACCAACCATTCAGTACCACTTCTTCACATTCTAAATTTATCACAATAAATCTTTTTTACGAGAACAGAGTCTACTTTAAAACACAAACGTAGCAGGACACCTTTTCCATGCTCTTTGGTGAATTTCGGCTCTATACACAATTGTAGTTCTTGAAAAAACTCACAAAAACATGATACAAAATAGAACTGAGATCAAACTGCGCTCTTCAGACAAGGAGGTGAAAAAGAAAGGTGGTGTCGCCCTCTTGTGACCTGAGACAGGAACTAAGCCATTGAAAATCCTCCCACATGAGAGGGGAAAACTTGTTGGCCCTTGAGATAATCTAAACAATTGGGAAGGCCTGGATTTGGACAGCTTGATTGATACCATAGCTTTGGTATTGCAAATGCTTAAGAATGGGTGTACCAAGAAATTATATACACCTTAAAGTTCCATGACAAGTCAGATAAATATCACTATTATGGTATACTGTATATTATTTGTGTTTGTTACCATGGTTACAGTAGTATCATTGAACAGAACAACTGGCAAAAGCAAAAGCAACATTATTACAAAATATATGTCAAATATTTATTATCTTAGGTATTATCATTTATTCTATCATAATCATAATCATCATCATCATCGGCCGTGAAGATCCGGGGTAGAATAGGTCTTCAGCAACCCAGGTTGCTGTAAAAGGTGACTATGTTTGTCGTAAGAGGCGACTTATGGGATTGGGGTGGTCAGGCTTGCCGACTTGGTTGATGCATGTCATCACATCCCAACTGCATGGATCGATGCTCATGATATCAATCACTGGATTGTCTGGTCAAGACTTGATTATTTACAGACCGCTGTCATATAGCTGGAATATTGCTGAGTGTGGCGTTAAACAACAAACATTATCATCATTATCATCCAACTAGAGATATAAGAATCATGAAATGGAAAAGTCTAGAATAAACAGAATTCATTATGGCGACATTATTGTGAATTATAAAATATTTGTCAATATGGCATGAAGAATATACACATAGATTCACAACATAAAATGTCAACTTCAAAGAAAATGTATTTCCGACCATCTGTCAAAACAGACTCCAATGAGCATAAAAGGCAACACCAGTGATGAAAATTACATAAATTGATCACCGAAAATCAGTGACGAAACCAGGTATTCTGACACCAAGAAATCCTTTCCCTGATCCACTTGCATCAGAAACACCAAAATATACAAATGTTAGAGTAAAAATCAAATTCACTACTTGCTGATTCCTTAACAATCCACCGTCTCCTTGAGACCATCTTCTATTCACAGGGGCACTTTAAGTAATATATTTAACATATGACAATACATTCTCGATTATTTAGACCACTATATCTCCATTCTATATTGATAAAAACCCTCGACCCAGCGTCGTCCCGGAAGTGACGTCACAACCCCATGCTCACATCTCTCTGCACAGATTTTTTCTCGCACGTGATTTGATTGGGTATCGTACTATTTGACTGTCGCTCAAAACGAAGTTATGGTTGTGAATGTATCTTCCGTATGATTCAGATTGAATCGAGTTACAGTCCTCTAGTTCAGACATTGTCTGTTTCTCTGAATATTTGAGACATAATTCTTTGTTCACATATAAGGGCATATTTCATTTTATTAAGGGAAATCCATTTAACATGTGGTAGCATTAATACCATGATATATAGGTATTTGAAGGACCACAACATAGCCCCATTCGTGACCAACTCGTGTTAATCAGGGACAAGCCGAATAGTGAACTTAGTCCGTTCTAGAAATACTACTTACCACAGCACTGACTTCCATCAAATGATGTTTCTCGTGGTTCCTGTTTGATGGCCAGAGTTCCCGTGTGAGCCGCAGGGGCAGATGGGTACCCATGATTCCTTCCCATGTCGTAGTTCCGCTCATAGTCGTGTTTCAGCATTTGTTGATGGTAGGGGTGGGGCAGCACTGGAGGGGGGTGGGAAAAGGCTTGTGGGCGGGGCTCAGGGGTAGTGTAACCACTGCTTGGTTCCGAATGAGATCGCTGATATCTGAAATAATTTCAATAACATTAATATGGTTTTGTAGCTATACAGACAAGTACAAGTAGCCACGTACACACACACGTGTCTGCAAGTGGCAATACACACGAAATCTCCTCGAAATGTAGATTCCATTGTACGATTCCGACTATATCATGCACATGTGTAGATTGATCACTATCAAATACACAAATACACCGGTGATACCCATCATAAACACACTCAAAGGCAAGTCAATTTGTCATGACAGATTAACTGTAGTAAAAGGGAAGAATCGGGTGTTCTTTAAGTTCTTTTAAGTGGTATATATTCCAATCTAACAGTCAATTATCGTGCATGAGAGATTTTGTCTCGTCTTGACACGTGGCATAATAATGCTAACGTCTAGACATTATCAGGAAATAGGTACCAGACTGCGGATCACAGATCCCCTTTACACTCACAGCTATAATGGTATATTAACCTACAACTATTGTAAGTCTATGATTACTTATCATTATAATCTGAGGGCTAATCTCGCTTTGTGCAGATGTATCCTTGGTATAGAAAATAGAATATAGAGAGGACCCCTGAAGGTCAGGGTTAGTATTTGTCTTCACAACCCAGGCTTGCCGTAACTGGCGACTATGCTTGTTGTAAGAGGAGACTAACAAGATCGGGTGGTCAGGCTCACTGACTTGGTGGAGTGCGTATATCGATGCTCATGATATCAATCACTGGATTGTCAGACCGCCGTCATATAGCTGAAATATTGCTGAGTGCGGCGTTAAACAGCAAACAAACAAAGAATATAGAGAGACTTCTAAATTACAGCAGAACCACACTGTTCCAGAGGCTAAACCTATATTTCGGAGACAGGATGTTAATCTTCTCAAAATAAACTTTTGACAAATGAGAATATCGCGCACAACAGTGCCTTAGGATATTCGTATTCTTACAAAGGTACATATTACTAACAGGTCTGTCTAGGGATGTAACACGTATTAGGTCTACCTAAGTGTCGTCAACTTTGCTTCCTTCATTGTATATATTACTGTCAGACTAGGTGAGACAGATGTATGGGAAGGGCAAACTGGTGGATTCAAACACCAATGATGAGTGTTCACCCTAACATCACAGACACATGAAAGGTAAAAGGATGTGAAAATGGAATGGACAAATTTGTAGTTGAACACATTCAGGAAACGTTTATTATTTCATGCGAAACCCAACCCAACATTAAAATAACTTTTATATATTTTTTTTTTTAACCTTTTTAAAATTCATATTTTCTATTTCATATCTTTGTCATACAAACAGGACAATTCATTAACACAACATTTATTTATGATAAAGTATTACCTAACCATAAACTTTAAACCCTTTGTGACAGATAAGTAAAGATTTATAAACCAAAGACAACCATCTCAGAATGAACCATTTCATTTGAGGACTGCGCCATAAAAGGACAGAAAAGTGTGCACGTAATCCCATAAAAACCGCTGTGCACGTCATCTGCACTCGAAAAAATGTACGTCATTTGTGCCTTGTTTTTCAACCCCTGTCGGTTATTTTTTCAATTATGAATTATTGAAAACCAAAGAAACACGGATAATAAATAGGAATGATCGTCAACTGTCACCCAAAACGTATTCCATTATTTGTTTTTTAACGCAAGCACACATGTACAAATTGATGCAAGCAGCTACGGAGTTTCCCTTACGTAGCCGCGGGCAATGATGACAACCCACGTCAGGACCGCGCGATCCCTCGAATCGAGAGTGCAATCAAACTATATTAATGGTCCAGAAAATTCCAAAGACACTCTCCCATACTGCAATTTGAAGCCAAATCTGCCCTTTTGCCTGCTTGACAAATAGAGAAAAAGCGAGAGCTGACAGAGGCGGTATGGCCCGGAGAGAAACTAACGCGACATCCATGCCTTGACTCGCCCCGTGATTCCAAATCATAGCTTTTACAATATCCACTATTAACACAAATTACACCTTTGAGCAATCGCACGCGTTCTCCCTCTCTATGAGAAGATTTCAATTTCACACAGAGATGCCGCTTCTTAAAACTGGTAACCAGGGCGACTGAAAGCTACCCTAGGTGGTTGCAACGCTTCGTCCTAATGGCTAGGATCAGATCTCGGACAATTACAACATTTAAACCCCTGATATGCTTGTTCGCGAATTCAACACCCTTATCCTAGCAGGAGAAGTGTTGATGGCTCTTCACATAGCTTCGAGCAGTTTTATGGTTGGAATTATTCCGATATGAATACAGGATGGCTATCAGTTTGTGCGACTGCCTAACTTACAATGATGTGAACTTCCCACATGAACAAAATGTTCTTAGAAACTCGTCTGTGGAAAAGTCATGGCATCAGAATCAGTGAGCTAACTAATGATAATGTAGCCTCTGCCACCGCAAGAGGCCCTCAATTAGCTGGCACAATAGCGACTGTCCTGTTCCCAAGCGTTCGGCCACTAATGTATTTTGAATCATTCGATGTCTCAAGCTGAACATTTAATAAAAAAAAGATACGAGTACGTCTTCATTTGAATCGAAAACTATTGAAAACTCTCCATTTGGGTAATGCTTCTTTTGACATAGAAGGGCACGTCCATGTTTCTATTAGTTTGTGTACTTAATGAAGAACAGTCACTTGTTTAGATATTTACTGACTTCATAATATGTGTACAGTAAACTACGTTTATAACGAACACGTTTATAACGAACTGACCCATATAACGAACTTATTTTTTAGTTCCGACCATTTGTTGTACATATGCTGTATGTATGCTTATAACGAACTAAGGCTATTACGAACTATAATTAGTGGTCCCCTCGAGTTCGTTATAACCGTAGTTTACTGTAATTGTGTCTGGTTCTGTCGGTGCCACTTTTGATTTCGGTCTAATTTCGTTTGAGAGATGAATCTTGCCGTGTTGGTCTGTTTTACTGATTAGCATGTCAAAATGTTGATATAAATACAAGGGGCTTTAAAACTGGACCCAATTTCCGAATAAAGAAAGCGAACATGTGACGATCTGTAAACTGTCAACTTGAATGTTCAACAAAATGTTCACATCGTTATCTACATATGTCCATTTTGGCCAAGAAATTGAATCTTATAACAATGAAAATAACAACCAAACAAGATTATATCAAATTTACAGTGCTATGGTGACGTTTGTCTGTGATCATCATGTCAGACAACCGTTAATTGCATCGCGTAGACTTGGTAAAAACCACTCTAAATAATATGTAAATATGACAACCAGCTACAATGAAGAAGTTATCGTCCAACCTATCATGGAACATATCTTGGTAATGTGAAAGTATTTCTGTTCAAACTCTTAAATGATTTCCACGCGACTCTTCCCTGTCGTCCCACGTTATCGTGTCGTATATGGGCCTGCTTCCTCTCAGTGTTGGCTGTGCAACGAATGGATGGCTCTGCGTTGTACTATAGTACAATGAACACTTCTAACAGCGCGTTGTGAACATAAAGTTGAGGAATTGAGAATACTAAATCCGCATGACACTTAAGTAGACTGAAATCAGTCTCCATTTCCTATATGAATTTAAAAATTAATTTTAAAAATCCAAGATATATTTTGTTTGTCCCTGGTACGTTTTGGATGAATATTTTGAAAACACGACGGTAAAATGAAGACTGCTCAGGTCTTCCCTTCAAGAGGTTAGACACTAGACTAAGCCATCCATGCACCAACACAAGGAAATGAATACACCATCGACGTGCCTATAATTCCTCATGACCTGGTGCGTATGTTTCAGCGGGATTCTTGTTAAACGACAAACTCGAGTATTTCTGAGTTAAAAGGATTGCAGCAGATTTCATGATTAACTGTATATAATTTTCCCTTGGGCGCCTTGTCTGGATGCGTGATTGAGCTGGTATTAACACATTGTATGTGTTTATGTCGGCTTCAGCCCATGCTTACCGTAACAGGCGACTATGCGTGTTGTAAGCGGCGACTAACGGGATCGGGTGGTCATGCTCGATGACTTGGTTGATGCATGTCATCGTATCCCAATTGCATCGATGCTCATGATGTCAATCACTGGATGGTCTGGTTCAGACTCGATTATTTACAGACCGCTGTCATATAGCTGAAATTTTGCTGAGTGCGGCGTTAAACAACAAACAAACAAACAAACAAACAAACAAACACAATTACTGTACAGCCCACATACCTCTCTGACCCCGGCGGATATAACTCCGTGTGGTTACTGAAAGAGGATTCCTTGTAGGAGCCCGATGACACGGACTCTTTCCCTGAGGCGGAGGAACACGCGGACCCTGTTGGTGATGGGGTCGCATGTTCATATGGACTGTTTACAAATGTTTTTTCTCCATATTCAAACTTGGAGGCAGAGACAGCTTGTTTAGAGACGATTTGACTGCATGGCTTGGAGCAGTTGGTCGACTTCTGTTCAGCCTTGACCTTCATGTAGGGATTCCCTGCAATAAGAACGTTACATCTTAAGTATGCAATACAAATACATATACAGTAAAGTACGTTTATAACGAGCACGCTTATAACGAACTGACCTATATAACGAATTTGTGTTTTAGTCCCGACCATTTGTTGTATAAATGCTGTATATATGCCTATAACGAACTATGGTTATTACAAACTAAAATTAGTGGTCTTTTTGAGTTCGTTATAACCGTAGTTTACTGTACTTGTCTTCCATGGTTGCGTGTGGGCTTACAAGTATTTGAAAAACCACCCCCATGACATTTAAATTGGATAAATTGATCTCAATTCAGCATTTGGTTGTCAACGTTGGACGCCCAAGGCCATGACAGTCGTGTCTGATATTAGACAACATGGTTCTCTGGGAATAGTTCGAGAACACTATGCAACATCACTGATGTAACTCCGGGCCGCTTACAACTTCGACATACACAGTGAGAACTCGTTAACTCGAACTTCATTAAGACGATATAAGATTCCCACAGAATCCTTAATTGCACATGGTTTAATATCGTTCCTATCATCTCAAACTAGGGATGACTCGAATCATTCTATGGTCGAGAGGACTTCGAGTTAACGACGTTTAATTGTACATGTATTTTGTTGTAGTCATGCAAAATGTTACAATTGCATTCTCACGATTCAAACCTAAGCAAATATTCAGTAGAGAAATCTTGATAGCGCTTAATACCCGTGAAGCATACATGTTTCTTTAGTATATTCATGTGTAAACCTTTATATAGATCTTTATACCGTTGTCATGTCAGTCTTGCTTGACAACGGTATAAGAATCTCTACCGATACGTCTACTTGGTTATCAAAATTCTTGTAAATCACAAGGCCAAGAAGACTAAACAAACGAGCCCTTATTGAGTGTAGCAATGATAAAAAAATTGTCTGTATAAACGAGCTTGTCATGATGAAAGAGAACATCTGATTCGACATACATATATCATTCGAGTCCAAAACTATTCACGCAAACACACGATGGGGGCCAATAACAGACAAAGGAAGGCTCTAATCGAGACTTTCAACCTGTGTCTGGTTCGTTGTAAATGTTGATAGTGATATTTCAAACGGATCCAATAAACAAAAAACACCCCATTCGCATTCATGTAATCTGAAATCCAGCCATGCAAAGAAGTGAAAGACATTTATCCGTTCCGCTATATTTATATTCATCACGGAATAATGGAATAGCAGATTGCATTTGTTAATAGTGCATACGATATCGGTGTGGGGAACCTAGATGGAACATTTCTATGTGTTTCATCTATACACATATCTAAAACTGGATAATATTGTGGTTTATTTTAGACTCAGATAATAATGACGAACAATAAACGACGACTAGTATGATAAAACTAAAAAAACAAACTGTGATCGTGTTTTTATTCATACTGTTTTTTCAAGATGCACATACTCTAAATTTCAACAAAAACATATTTTTCCTCAAAACCTTTGTGTTCGTTATACACGTTATGGCGAAATGTCAAGTTTATTAAAGTGTGGTTTGTTGTTTATGTTTTGTAACTTTTATTGTGTAAACAGTTGGGAGACTGCTCTTTAATGCCACGCCGACAATAATATACTTAAATTATACAAATTATTTGCCGTATATGGATAACTATATACGACAACAGTCATGTTAGCCTTAAAACATGCGTTTGTAAGGTTCTTAAATGGTTCGACTGGACAGTGATTCTTGGGAGCACTAATGTTCTCAGTTACTGAGCCACGTTCTACAGAGCGATCGTAGCGGAACGACTAACGTACGTCTGTGTTAATGTATGGGCGTAACGAGGTCTAAGCGCTACGTCTATCGTAAGACTGTGTTAATGTATGGGAGTTACGATGGTCTTAGTGCTACGATCGCTTTGTGGAACGGGTTCTGAAGGGGCTGCCACGTCCTCTGGGCATAACTATGCTAAAACCACCTGATCCTCCTCAAAATTTGAATCTTTTGTTATGATAATGATGATAACTATAATAAAAAATTAAAAAATTACAGTGACAATGATGACGACGATTATTCTAAATCCGATTTTCTTCCAGAAACGTTGTCTCTGTGCATAACGCTAGCCATATAACATATTGGTAGGGCGTAGACGTAATTAAATCGCCCTCTGTTCTGACTACAAAGCAACACGTGCCCAATTATTTCTTTTACCAATTATGTTTTGAAGGTTAAATAGACGTAATGCTATGTCCCATCTGTATCGATCCTTGCTATTATATTTCTATAAATCAAAATATCAGCTGAGGTTTATATTATATTGTGTAATGAGATTGTGGCCATTTATAAAAGCGTTTTGCCCATTTCGCTTACCTTTGTATAAATCATGGATTTTTCTTGCATTCTTTTTCATTGAACTGGGCTGTGTATTCTACGGGGCCTTGATTTACAATACTATTCATGAATAACCCTTCTCGTTTATAATCTCAGTAACCACTGTACGAAGCATTGATTCCCTTTCTGCAATATTCATATAATAATTAAAGAAAGCCATTACTCAGAAGAACTGCATCTCAGGTGGCAAAAGCATTACAGGTAGACGCTAAAGAAAGCAAAACAATGACAAGCAAAACATTTTTATTTGAATTCTACATTTTCAAACTCACTAATTCAAAGTTCGCAAAGAGGACATCTATGGTTATTAACATCATTTCAATCCTCCATCAGTGATTCTGGATCCGTTTCGCTTCTCTCACTGTCCTGTTTCTCCCGCAGATGGTTCGACTGTGGATGATGTATATAGGTGCTCGACCCATGCCAATAAAAACTCGTCAGAATCGAAGGGAAGCTTCAAACTGGTCTCAGATTCGGTAATACTAGACTCTGGAATGGTTTCCTAATTAAAACGCTGAATGAAGATCCATAGCCATTATATGCCCAAATGCAGAAGCACACTGAAGGCGAGAATAAGAATGTAATCCCGTTCTGTCAGTAAATTTGGATTGGGTCGTCCTGATATAATCCGTCATTGAACGACATAATTCTGTTGATGAATCTGTCATAGTCGTCAGTATGATTATTGTAGCAGTGGTAGCAGTCAGGGTGACTGCACACGCCCACGTTTATCGATGGTATAAAACAACAAACTCGCACGCAATTAATTTTAGAAGAAATATAACTGCATTGTACTTTATAATGGATAAACAATTATATATTATTGATAACGAAGTAAAAGATGTATAGTTCGGCGAAATCTTCGTGTGTCTATACTTTGATTTATGAGAAAGGTTCATTTTCAAACGTCAGAATTGTCATGAGTAAATGTAGTGAAAAAATCAAAGACGACAATGCAAAAGCCTTGAAAAGTACATATGGTTTGGAAGTTGTAAAGTCTTTGCCAGTCGATAGCTGATTGAGCACCTGTGCTTTATTGAGTATAAAAATGCTTTCACAAGAAGAATAAAGTCCCTAAATCACAAAAAAATACTGTCACCAAACGGCGTCTGTTGGTTTGGCCACACAGGCAACTCCATGTACAAATGAGAAGAATGCATGAAGACAAAACTGGAAAGTCTATTACTGTGTTGATTAGATCGTTGTGGTCTACCGCAATTATCTTAATGAACAATCTGACACGTTCTTATTAGCAACTGATTCCAGTAATGTCTGTCAAACTTTCACATTTCACCTGAAACTGACAAGCTGCGATCCATCTTCATCCGTTCTTGTCATAAGCTGCACCCTCCATCTTGTCTGGTATTAACGACTTGGGGGACTGAGAGAGTAGTACACTGATAGAGGCTACGGAATCTTGGATGTTTCCAAGAGAATACGAATTACTTAGAATACTAAATGATTTTGTACTGAGGTCATTTGTAAGACGAGCACACTTAATAAAGCCGACTGCATCTACTAATGGTAAGCCAATAGCGAGAACATTATGGAAAAGATCATTCGCGTGATCGATATTATACAAAAACTAATTTTGACAAATATTTTTGTTTATTAAGTCGTTCTTTTCTATGTTAAGGGAAACTTTAATTTCTCCATGATTATCTGAATGTTAGATAAGTACATGACATGCATCTTTAATAGGATTTCGCTGTTTGGGAAATTATTTCTAGGCGTCATACAGCAGAAATTAATACAATATCTTTTCCAGGAAATACTTTTTATGTTAGTTACTTTAACATTCAAACAATTAATGATGTTCAGACTGTAGAGAGAACAGCTCTCTTAACTAATATTTTTTCATATACAAATGCAATTCATGATAAAATAAATATGATAAATTACATCAGAAACAAATCAAGCGTCTTCCCACAAATTCTTTGAACAAACATCCAAACCAAACAAACAACAATCAGTACAATAAATGTTACCGAGTCTGACCCCGACCCAATGCCTTCATCGTATATAACAAATATAATACTGTTTTGAGAAACCCGAAGAATTATGTTCCGTCAAGCCACAGCTCTTTCGGCCCTCATTACAGTCTCTGCATGGTAATACTACATCTAAATCATGTCTATAAAATACTGAAATGCGCATCAAGTTAGAGAAATCTATAAAGTTCTCGGACACTCATAAATAAAGGAATCACAGATCACGTTGAGTAGTCCCCCCAGAAAGTCCCCTTCAATCCTCAAGGGTTTGAATTACTATGCGGATAACGTTTGCCGAGCTTATTGTGAATGGGCGTAGGGGTCTCTCGCATTAAGGGCTCAATAAATCTAACTAACACTAGGGAACAAGGGGCGAAAGTCAATAGCAAATGCATAAAAGATCATCAGTCTCAGAGCTGGGACTGATTGATTGTTGTTCACCGCTATTCCGTGCATCCAAATCGAATCAATTGTCCCTGCCGTGGCTCGGCGTAACATAGGGTCATCTTTGGCTGCCAGAAACATGCTCTGAAAGGTCGGGACTAACACTTAGGGGGCAAGGGTGGGCTTTTTACGACGCAAGGAAGACTCTGGGGGCGGGGGTGAGTTCCCGGGAGCAAAACAGTATGTTATTTGACAG